GCTTTCCGACCATTGCCATGCGCTGCTCCGGAAAACAGCAACCCAATTGCTCGGTGGTATCCTCGTTCCATTTTCCAATAATTTCCCTTTGTTCCAAACGTAATAATCTTTGTATTTTTCGTATTCAGGATGGTTTGGGTTGGATGACTTTTGGAACCACTCATGTTGGTCGCTACTGTGATTTGGTACGAAATCCAAAATGAGTTTTATATCCAATTCCTTGCATCGCTGCGCCAATTGTTCAAAATCTTCCATTGTTCCGTACTCCGGTTGAATTTCTCTATAGTCGGAGATATCGTAGCCGAAATCTTTCATTGGCGATTTGAAAATCGGCGACAACCATATTCCGGTCACTCCAATGTTTTTGAAATGATTTAGTCTCGATGTGATTCCATTCAAATCTCCAACACCATCGCCGTCACTGTCTTGGAATGAACGGGGATAAACCTGGTAAAAGTGTGCATATTCCCACCAATCGTCGGTTGCTAACGTTTGGCCTGTGATTGAACACATCACAAGAGCAAAAATCGGTAGAACTATTTTCGACATTGTGCTGTGACACTCAACAAAACTTCTTTAGACAAAATTTATTAAAATTAGGTTTTAACACTTTTAAATCTGACAGTGATACTTTTCCATCCACACAAAACACCAAGAAGATAACTAAAATATTCAGTGAAGTGCTCACGGTTTATATAGTGTGTCGAACTACGTAAGTGCACGATTAAAACTTGTAAATAAATGAATAAGTAAACGTACTTGAAAACAGGGAAGAATATGTTCGGTGTAAATGATTCGTGTGTAAAACTGAATAGATTCCAAACTGGTATTTTTCCTTTACTACGATTTGGAATTGTTCTGCTTGTCAGCAAATTATTTGACTTTGAAACACAGACCTGTGTTGTTGTCACCTGTGACAAAAGCGTGGGCTAAATTTCATTCTTTAATCGAAATTGTTATTAAAACAGAACAATTGGCATTGAAATGGAGATAATTCAAGTGGACTACGCTTAGCTCAAATCACAAAAATTCCCCAATTGAAGTGGAAAAAATCAGTTCATAATTTTTTTCATTTATTGATTAAGATTAGATACATTAAATACTAAACTTAATTGTAATATTTTGGAAGTTCATGTATTCATCACTGTCTTGGAACGAACGTAGTTACACTTCATATAAATGACCATTTTTCCACCAGTCATCGGCTGCTGAAATGATTGCTGTGCTTATCGTAGACATAGAAACGGTGACAATCCGCACATTTATTGCGTTGCTTCATATTTCACGTCACTCGCATGTTTGATTCATATCACTTGTTAAACAGCTCTTATTATAACCGGATTTCACCAACAATATTATGATAAAAAAAGGTAAACTCGGACATTTCAAACCAATCAATCTGTTTTCCTATTTTACATGTGACATCATTTTTAATGCATAAATATAATCATTATGATGAACAAGTCACATTAAATACATTTTATTTAATAATATTCAGAGGAAGCCGCAAAAGATCCGATAAAAGTGAAGATCTACGATTTTCAACTCTGTTATTATCAGTCATTCGTTTGTGACTTGACAATCTTCCTATTCATGAGTGTTTGTTGCGATATTTTGAAAGAACAATTTAAATCATTTATCAACTTTTATCATTCCGAGTTTTTGATGACTTTGCAGCTCGTGAACTGTCCATTGGAAGATTACACGTACGAAAAGTAAGTATACTTTGCTATGGCATTTGAAGTTTTTTTAATTCAATCAACTCACTCATTCGTAAATTACGATTGATTGAATTCATTCAGGATGTGGTTTGAGATCCAAGATAAAGCGAAAAGAGAGCTAATGCGTGTGCTGTTTGTGGTCAAGAATAGTGTATCGGATGAAAATTCAACATTGGATAAAATATCACAAGACGCGTTCTTCAGAAAAGATGGCCGAACCAAATCATTTGCACGTCGATGGAAGTGCATCCTTGAGATATTCACAGAGAATGGACTGATTTAAACTGGATTTTTCTAAATAACTGATTGATGTACACGAAAATGGCTCTATGAATTTGAATCAATGCAAAATTTTACTTTTTCTTTTCTTCTTTTTTCAAATGATTGATATGGTATTTCTATTGACTAGATCGAGAGGAGAGTAAGTTCATCTGACTTTGTTATGAAAGAGAAGAGTAAGTTGCTTTCGACTCAAAAATGGTTAAAGGCGAGTATGTTCATTTTTGGCGGGTCCTCGTGGTTTTCCACGGTTTCTGCGGAACTGCTAAGAGATAACAACTTGGTGTCTTCGGCAAAGTTGTAGCACTCGAGGTCTTCTATAACATTGCTGAAGTCAAATATCCCTTATCACTTATCAGTTCCGCGAAAAGCGCGAAAAATGATAAGAAAAAAAAAGTTCTATATAAAATTTGCTTTTTTATGTGCGCGCAACTGATAAGAGATAAGAGATAGATGTCTTCAGCAATGTTATAGAAAACCTCGAGTACTACAACTTTGCCGAAGACACCATGTTGTTATCTTTTATCAGTTCCGCGAAAACCGTGAAAAACCGCGGAGGCTAGACGGGATGCTAACATACTTCCTTTTAACGCAGATAGAATCAACAGAAATCATAATCTCCTCTTTCAAAATATATTAGAATTTTTTCACATACTCTCCTCTCGATCTAGTCAATAGATTTTTTGTTTCTTTCATCACACATTGTTCAACTATAGTTTGGAATAATAAAATGTTGAAAATTTAAACCAATTCTATGTAATTGGGTCGGAGAATGAATCCGAATGACTGATCGGGATTCATTTTTAAGCACAGATCTATCTGACTTATGATTTGTATGTATTTATTTGTAATCAGTTTTTGAATTGACATTTCTGCGGTTAGTTCTTCCATACGCTTACGGACACTGTATTTCTTTTCTTACAAAGTAGGTTCATTTAACCGCATTTAACGTATTCGATACGGAAATAAGAGCAGCAATCATGCTATCCAGTTCAGAAAAAAAACGCAAATTTTGCCACATTTGCTATCTGGCCAGCTATCGGTAATTGTTTTTCGATAAATTTGCAAGATATTTTCTATAAAAGTGCGAATAAATCACAGAATGAAGCAGTTTTTGTGCATACACTCTGTCGTTGTGACCCATTGAAAATGTCCGAGCAAACGGGACCGTTGACTGAAATAAGAAATTTCACGGAGTTCCTAGAGCAACATCTGAACCGAAAAGTGTTGGAATATTCGTTGAAGGCACTAACCAAACCTGGCGACAATTTTGGAGCAGTGGTTCAATCGGTTGATGTGAAAGTGGCTGGAAATGATCTTTCTGATGAAGTGAGTGCCTTGCTACGATCTGACCAAACAAGCGTTTGAATTTTCAATGAAAATATATTAAATTCTCTTTGCTTCACAGCCCGAACATTTACATGTGGTGGTTAAAACACCGGTTACAAGCCCATATTTAGCCGAACTGTTCAAACCGGCAATTTCCTTTGTAAAAGAAGTTCGGTTTTATTCGGATATTATTCCAGCTGTGAAACAGTTTGAACAAACAACAAATGTTCCAGAAGATGAGAGATTGGATGCTTTTATTCAAAGTTTGGGATGGAGAATTTCTTTAGATCCCAGTAAGTTCCGTAAATACATTAGCTACAGTCGATAAAGGGAAATGAAATCATTTTTAAACGATGGTATTTCAGGTGCACAAAGTGCCGATTCAGATGCCGTTCTACTGTTGGAGAATGTGAAACTTCAGAATTTTGCTAACGGCGATAAATCCATTGGTTTTGGTAGAGATGAAGCCATGGCCACTTTGAAAGTAATATTTATTCATTTGTCTTCCAAATAAAATCGAATAATTCGGTGAAATGGTAAAAATTTCAATCTTGTAGGCTTTGGCCAAGTTTCATGCGCTGTGTATTGCAATGCGGCGATTACAACCGGAATTATTCAACACTAAAGTGAATCCGTATTTGCTGCCGCTCGACGCAACTACAAAAAATGACAAGCAATTTGAGGTATTTTTCATTAGAAACAAGATTTTGCCAGAAGAGTTAAAGTTTAATATCAAAATATCATGCAGAGTATCTACCGTGAATTGCGTCTTCTTGATGGTCTTTCTCCGGAAATGCGAAATAAAATTGAAAATGTCACGAGAAACGGAAAAGAATACAATGAAATCCTAACTCGTGCTCCTGACTCGCCATATACAACGGTTGTTCATAAAGATTTGTGGATAAATAATATTATGACCAAAAGAGGTAGACTCAAATGCAAACGGAAAAATGGCAATTCTTATTTCATACAACATTTTTCTTTCATCATTAGATGCCACACCAACGAAAGTGAAAATTTATGACTTCCAATCTTTCTACTTTGAATCTTTTATGCATGATTTGATTTTCTTTTTATTCACGAGCGTCCAAAATAGTGATTTGAAAAGCAATTTCAAATCATTGATCGATCACTATTTGGCGGAATTCAGAAAAACTATGGATTTTTTTAAATGTCCGTTGGATGATTATACTTCGGAAAAGTAAGATTTTTTCATTTTAGAATAATTATTTGCATGTTCTTCGGAAATATATGCCTCTTTTCGTTCTAGGATGTGGAGTGAAATACGAGACAAGGCCCATATCTTACTGTTTCGCTTGCTAATTAGGGCCAAAGTTACAAAGGCGAACCACGATTCAACGCCACAACTGCATGAAGTGAATAAGCGGAATTCCCCCATGGAGAGGCCGGCGTCCAAAGTTGTCCTAGATCAATGGAAGTTCATCATTGATATGTTCATTGAAAATGCATTCATTTAATTTTCAATGATCAAATTAAATTGGCAAACGGAAATAGACTTTATTAGTTTCTATAAATGTTGAACTTGATTTTTTTTTGAATAAAAAATAATTGCATCAAATAAAATTTGGCATAAAGTCATATTCGAACGCATTGAAGCAACTCTTCGATTTCCTCGGACACCTACAGTCAGTCAAAAAAGTATTCGGCCACCTGTGAACAATTTTTTTTTCTTCATATTTCTGTGCAATAATTATTCAAAGTCAATTCAATTTTTGTTTATTTATTAAACTTGAACTTCTTTATTATTAATAGCATATTTAAAATATTAATCACATTTTAGAATGTTTTTGGGACCTTTTTCTGAGAGATACTTAAATTTGACGCAAAAAAAGTATTCGGCCAAGCATCAATATTGCATGATTTTTTAAGAAAAAAGAGAATATTTATTATTTTGTTGGGTTTCCTTTTGCGCGACGAACCGCCTGCATTCTACGTGGCATTGAATCGACCAAATTTTTGGTCACAGTCGTTGGGATTTTGGCCCATTCGGATACAATCGTGGCTTCCAACTCAGCTATGCTACTGATGCTGATTTGGTGTATTTTTCGATCCAAATGGTCCCATAAATGTTCAATAGGATTGAGGTCAGGTGACTGGGCTGGCCATTCAAGCACATTTTCGATCTTTTTGGACAACCATTCCTTCACACTTCCTGCCGTGTGCTTGGGGTCATTGTCATGCTGGAACACAAAGTCGGATTCAATGTTCAATTGGCGAGCACTTGGCAACAAATTTCTTTGAAGAATGCCTTTGTACACATACTGGTCCATTCTTCCATCGATAAACACCAATTTTCCGACACCCGAAGCAGTCATGCAACCCCACACCATCACGAAACCGCCGCCATGCTTCACGGTTGGTGTTAGGTTTTTTGGCTGTAACTCCGTGCCGGGTTTTCGCCACACTTTAGCTCAAAATTCGATGAAAATACTTCAAATTTACTTTCATCCGACCATATCACCTTATTCCAGTACGATTGAGGTGTGTTTGCATGACGAATATCGAATTCCAAACGCTTGGCCTTATTAGCCGAACTCATCAAACATTTTTTCCGTGCGATCCGGCCATTGTACCCATGTTTTTTCAGAACATTTCTTACTGTTTGCGGTGAAACTTCAACATTGTCAGTGCCAGCGATGTCTGCTGCAATTTTTGGTGCCGAAATCTTTGGATTTATTTTGATTTTTCGGATTATTTTCGTTTTCAGCCGATCGCTGATCTTCGACGGCCGGCCCGATCTTGTTTTGTTCAGTATTACGCCACTTGTTTTATACTTTTTGATGATTGAGTTTATGGTTGATCGTGGTTTTGAACATATTTCAGCTATTTCTCGCTCACTTTTATTATTTTTGTGAAGATTTATGATGATTTTTCTCTCCTCGAAAGTCGTTTCTTTAGATTTCACCATTTTCCAACGATTCGGCGGTTTTCAAGCTAACTAAATGCGCAAAATCATTCAACTAAGTGACAGTTTAGTTGTATTTCACAATATTGAAAAATTTAATTGGCATCTGTCATCGATAAATGTCAAAACAATAGGAATAAATCATGAAATCGATGAATGGCTGAATACTTTTTTTGCGTCGAATTTGAAGGTTGCGAGAAAAAACCTCTCAAAAATATTCCAAAATGTGTACAATATAATAAATTTGCTAAGATAGAAAATACTTCAAATTTATTGAATAAACAAAAACAGTTACGGTTTTTATGATTGAATATACAAAAAATTGCGAAAGAATTTTTTTTTTGAAGGTGGCCGAACACTTTTTTGACTGACTGTATATGCTCTACATTCCTTTCTCTTATGCTTGAATTAACTCAAAATAACTAGCAGCGAACTGTGTGAGAGACATACAGTCGCAACATATGCATTATGCATAAGACTAACAAAACAAAGTAAAACACGAATTTCCGATGAGCGCATTCAGTGAAGTTCATTTCGATCTGTGCATGCCGTTAGACGCCCTCATGAACGCGACTAAACGAACTCATCAGCAATGTTCCGTGTTCCAATGTTTATCACCGTTTATCTAACGCGAGTGTAACATGAGTTGCATTAGAAACAGTATTAGCTCATGTTACACTCGCGTTGGATAGAAATTCATGTAACATTTTTTGGGAACAAAATTTTATGTTCGGTTGTTGCTGTAACAGATCTGTATTCCCATTTTTATGCTCAGCGACACAAATGTATTAGAATATACATTTAAAACCAGGCGAAAATTTTGGAGCTATAGTTCATCAATCGCTTGAAGTGAAAGTCACTGATGGAAATGGTTCCAATGAAGTGAGTTGTTTTAGTGGAATTTTTTTTTGCTCAATTTTTGTGTATTTTTTTTGTGAAAAAATAAACGACATTCTTCTTTCTTAGGTAGGACACTTGCATCTAGTGGTAAAAACGCCGATTACAACCCCGTTTCTTGCATCAATTTTCAAACCGGAACTGTCATTCGTGAAAGAAGTGCGCTTCTATACGGATATCATCCCTGCTTTAGAATTCTTACAGAAAACGGCAAATGTCCCGAATGCGTTTATTCCATGTTAAGGGTCACGCATTTCGTTGAATCCAAGTAAGTTAAACACACATCTTATTTGAGTGAGGAAATATTTACAAAATAATTGAATTAAAGGTGCAGAACATGCCGATTTAGATGCGATTTTGCTGATTGAAAATGGGAAAATTCAAAATTATTTCAACCGAGATAAGCTCATTCGCTTCGATACAGAAGAAACGCTAACCATTTTAAAGTAATTTTTATATGATCTTATGCGTATAAACGAACGTTTCTTCAAATCTAATTTAATCCACAGACCTTAGCAAAGTTTCATGCGTTGTGCATAGCGATAAAACGATTGCAGCCAGATATATTTAATGCGAAAGTGAAGCCCAATTTGAAAAAAGTCATTTCCTCAAGTGGTGACAATACGGTAATTTTTCGAATAATTCAAATCAGTGTAACATAGATTGTTATCAAAAATAATTTCCAATTTTAGAATATATTTGATGACAAGATGACTTGCGTCGTATCGAAAATTTATCCAAAGAAAGGCGTATTTCAATTGAAAATCATATGAGAGCTCGTCAGCTTTCTTTTTCCGACACGGACAACGCTATTGATACGCCGTATAAAACGATTGTTCACACAGACCTATGGACAAATAATATTATGATTAAAAATGGTGCGTTCAAACAAATGTTTGATATCAAATATTCATCACTGTTCATACGAATTCGTTTTTTCAGATACAAACACAACAAAATCAACACAAATAAAAATTTACGATTTCCAAATGTACTACAACGATTCGTTTGTACATGACTTGATATTCTTCCTATTTGTTAGTTTTCGGAACAGTGATTTGAAAACGAATTTCAGAGCATTTATCAACCACTATCTCCTGGAATTTATAAAAATGATAAAGTTCGTTGAATGTCCATTAGATGGAAAAATGTCAAATGAAAAGGGATAGCTGTATAGTTTACTATACAGTTTACTATATAGCTATCCCTTTTCCGCTCATTCATCATCGACATTTTTCCGCTCAACTTTTCTGTATTACATTTTCGCCCCAAACCATTCATATATGTGCATGTATGCGTGTGACGTTTGCCCGGTATTGCCTAATGTTGCTTACGGTAACACATAGTCTGCTGGGTTTACGCTAGTGTATCACAAACACACTTACGTTGTGTGTAATACGTTAGTCGCTACACACAACTCACGCACACTAAGATGTTAGGGACTTCTGAAATATATTGTTCATTTCGGTTAACTAATTCTTGATCGAAGTCTAAAGTAACCGTTCTCAATCTAAATTGAAATAAGAGAAATAATGAAATGATTTTTTTCTTCGTCGAAGGATGTGAGAAGCTGACAACAAATCATCCTTTGATGGACCAGCATCAAAAGCCACTCTAGATCAGTGGAAGTCTATTATCGATATTTTTATCGAAAATGGTTTTCCAAACAACTTAGTTGTTTTTAGGCATATTAATACTAACCTTGATTAAAATGGCGCACATTACGTAGACACAATGAATAAATGGAATGCAAGTATATTATCATTGTTAGTTATTGAAATGTTTTATTAATGACAGAACAAATCAACTCCAGCACTTATTAATATTTTGAAAAAAACTCGAGAATTTTTGAGTAAACAATAGAAGCAGCGTGTTTACCCCAGACGAAGTCGATATGATTGAATTGAGGCGAATCGACGGTTTGAACAAACGCCAGCGTATGATTTAGTTTTGAAATCAGTCGACTTACATCTTTTGGATTTGTGAATTTATCAATAGGTGAATAATGTAGACTGATTGGCACATCAATGCGCGAAAGATTAAAATCATCAGGAATTTTCGAGCCGTCCATATATTTGCCGAAGAAGCCATAGTTCACCTCTTGTCCAAACTGGATGATTTGCATAGTTGCTGCGCCGCTTGGTATTTTACACAGAAAAGAGATCATCATCGTCTGTATTGCAATCACAATAAAACACAATTTTAACCATTTTTTTTGTATCAATGCCTTGATCAGTGCAGAACAATGAATGCAGATTAACTCACATCATTCCTCTGATCGATGCTCTGACCGAAAATTTGATCAATGATAAGACCACAAAAATTGGTGACATCAATCGAGCAAAATGATTCGGTTATATCACTTAGGCCAGCTCTTGGTAGAAATTCGCTATACTGGAACAACTGAAAATATTTGAAAGATTATTTTTTCTCATTCGCAAAATTGAAAATATTTGCCGAACCTTCAACATCGGACTAACTCTGCTGGAAGCTTTTAAAATTATTCCAGAATTGCCTAAGTAGCCAACGGGTGCCATGAGACTTGCCGCAGCTATATATTGATTATATTCAGGTAGCTCGGCTAGCAAAGCCATCAAAGTGGTAGTGCCCTGTGAGTGGCCAACGAGAAAAACTTTTGAATTGCCCGTTTCATGTCGTACGTAGTCAATAACAGCGGGATAATCGTAGATAGCCAGTTCATAAAAGGAAAAGTTCCAAAATTGTGAATCGCTTGTACTCAAGCTCACATGTTTCTTCGAATAAAAAGTTCCCCTGGAATTGGACATAAAAACCAAAACGATTTTCGTGTAGAAAAAAAAAACAAGAAAAAACATTTAGAAACCGATTAGAAAGAAACGAACCTGGAATTCGGTAAGAAGACGTCATAGCCGTTGTCTGCGAAAACGTATGCTGGCATGATGTATATAACATTCAACACAAAACAGTTGATCAAAATCAATATATGCAAAAGAATGTTTTGTTTTTCATATGTATTTAACTCACCCAATGCTTGGCTCGGAATGTTTACTGTGAAGTCGTCTGATGAAGACAAAACGCCGTGCTGCAGTATCACAGCCTTCTTTTTACCCGAAAATTCTTTCTTTGAATTGCAACGGAATACAGTTAAAATGTAACCATCTTTCGTTGTTACATTGTGCACCTCAGATTGGTAGCCATAGTATTCAATGAGTTGATCCTGATTTTATATGCAAAATATTCAATCACGAATATTAAAATACATTCTATTACAAATAAAGTGTATCTGATATATATTTCTATACCGTATTTCTTTTGCATAAAGCTTTTGTGGTTGGACTCTGAAAGATTCGCACCGCTCGAGAATATGGATGTCCAACTATATCCACCATTCGACTGGCCCATCTATTGATTCTGGTTGCAATTGTTGACCAAACGCTAGGTTGAACACTTCCAAACTGAGTCAATGCCAAAATGAGGCAACTCACGAAAATCGTTTTAAAACACAAGGAAACCATCTTCGCAACTCAACAAATCGAACTGAAATGCTAGTTCAGCAACATAGTTACATAGTTTATAGCAAAAATATTCCAAAACTCTACGTCAAATATCTCGTGTACTTATGCATGAATAATCCATTGCCCATGGGCATTTCCTATAACGCTAGATCAGAGAGTGTTTTTCCGTTGCTGAGCAGGCCGTTTGCAAATATCCACCTTAGTAAAATTGAAAAACATCTTGGATCTTTGCTTGCAATGAAAATATTGCACCGTAAATGCGTTTTGAAAAACCGCTTCAGACTCCTTAGTCAGAAAATTCAGTGCTCAGTAACGAAATTACACTCTCTGCGATTGCTAGTGGGTATTAACTCTCGCAAATTCACCCATAAATCTCATAGCGATTGCGAATGTTCAACAAATGCAAATAAAGAGGGAAATGTTAGAGTTTTTACAGGTAATCTGGAATTCAAGAGTACAGAAATGGCCCTATAGGTTATGCTGCTCAACAACATTGCAGTGTACAACACGTGCACAAAAATATCGAACGTTGGTTCATTAATATAATCAATAAATTATATGAAAATTAAGGCTGTATTTTTGTTGTTGTAACAGTAACAATGTACCTTTTATTGAATAATTATTAACACCATAGGTCTGTATTAATCTTGTGATTGATTATAATTTATAATCAATCGCCAGATTCATACAAACCTATGGCGTTAATAGCCTCTTTGTTTTAAAACGTTCTCGTGTTAACCATGCATTTTTTGCATATTAATTGAAATTCAAATCATTCTTACTTTAATTGTGAATATTAAAAATTTGTTCATTTTTTTACGCGAAGTAAATTTCTCGTTTTTCACAACCAAAAAAAAAATGTGAATCGTTGGTTTCATTTATTGTAGTGTTTAATTAAACGAAATGGAAATTTGCGAAAATTTACAGCTTTTACGAATCGCACGATTTAAATTCAAAGATTTAGATCTTATCGACTGAACCGTACAATCGAAAAAAAAAAATTGGCAGTACAGCGGACGCTCGGAATTCTTAAGTTTCGGAAATCTTAACCCTTTAATGCATATATTTTATACAGAGCTGGGAATTTTTTTCCATGCTTAT